AACATCAATAAAATTTGTAAACGTTTAAAAAAACACTTTTATGAAATTTTTAAATAAAAAACCTCCAATTACTTAATTACTAAACTTGTTTTATTTACCGGTACTTATTTGTTCATTTAGGCATATTAAAGATATCTAATAATGGAGGCATGTAAGTACCTACATAGAAGTTTATATTTCGGGTATCACATCAATTAAAACTGATCTTTTGAATGAATAAAAAACGTACAAAAAGTTGATTTATTGATAAATTTGTCGTACACACTTAGTTTTAAATCAATGCATTGTATTTAGCACCTATACATGCGCTATACAAAATTTAGTTTTTCTGATGAAACACCTAGCTAATGCTTTTTTTACTGGAAACCAACTGGTAAGCCATACAATATCGTAGAAATCCTTCGGAATGCGTGCAATTTTGCAATAATACTGACAATCCATACGTACGAGTAAATCGCCGCAATCAATAGGGAAATTGCCGCAATCAATAGAGAAATCGTTGCAGTCAATACATAAATCACCGCAGTCACGGGAAATCTGTCGGAAGTCATGTGGAAATCACCGCAGTCATCCAGAAATCGCCGCAGTCATCTAGAAATCGCCGCAGTCATCCAGAAATCGCCATATGATTGCGGAAATCATATGAATTCGGCAATACATGTACATTTTTACAAAGAGTGATTTGCCCCGAGGGGCAAATCACTCCCGCAATACGTGTACAAAATGTCCGCAATCCCATTGAAAATCGCCGCAGTCTCATCAAAATCAGTGACAATCGCTAAGAAATCGCCGCAGTCACTCCGAATTCGCTCGCAGTCGTTCCGAATTCCCTTGCAGTCCCCCGAATTTATCTAGCAGTCACTGAGCAATCACTAGCAATCGTTAAAAATCGCGCGCAGTAAGGTGACATTAACCAATTAGCCATTGTTGATGTAGGGTGCTTTGATTAAGCCATCTAAACCATTTTGTGTAAAGAAATTGCAGTTTACATTTATCGAAAGGGTCCTTCCGTGCATTTTGAGGCAAGAACTATTAAGTTAAATTTACATTTTGGAATTTGAAGGTTTTTTTAGGATAAATTTAGACACTAAATCTACTTGTATACAAGATTTTACAAGGTGGTCGAAAATTGTCCCTTTTCATCTAGTTTTTTTTTTAATGTATAACAAAATTGTTGGTATTTTATGGGGGTTGGGGTGATACACGTTTTAATTAGGATTTTAAATGTATTGTTACTTTCCTATCTGTTTACAGATAAGGAAAGTATAGGAATCATGATTTTTTTCGACCTCGAATTTTCGACGGTTTATGTTTTGGGGTATCCTGAATCTGTTTTGACTATTGAACGGATACAAAGAAAAACACCAAATTTTAAACTTAAGCTTTATTCCGGCGTCCAATTAGCTGATTAGATTTTGGGCAGAGTCGGAACATTTGGAGGGTACTTTATAGTCATCATTTTTATATTTTATGGAATATATCTGTTATTTACGTTTAGAGAAGAAATTTTTTCAAATAAAAGTTACTTACAATATTATTATCATCTATAATTTGTTCTATACAAAATTTGGTCCGTATTCGAGAAATTTGACAAAATGTAAAAAAAAATATTTTTTTATAAAAATTGTTCAAATAAAAGTTTTTTGTAATATAATTCTCTATAATTTTTGCCCTATACATAATTTCTCTAAAATGGACCGTATTCGAGATATTTAAGAAAATGTGTAAATTTCGAATTTTAAAGAAAAATCAAAAACGGATAAAGTAAAAAACATTAAATTTTAAACTTAAGTTTCCATATATGATGTAGATAATGAAAAGAGCATTTTTTATGGATTGGAAGATCTTAATATAAAGGATTTTCGAAATTACTAGACAAAAAGTGATTCTGATACCTCATTTTTAAACATAATTGTGAACAACAAAAAAATGTAGGTAAAAAAATCAGCTCTTTGTTGGTTATTTTCCACTGAAGACGGGCCCTTGTCAACTGACAGATTATCTCGTGTAAAAGGAACATCCTCAGCAGTACTAAATAAAAAAAAGTCCAGAAAAAACACAGCTAAAATACCAAATAACTACAATGACAAAGATGTAACAGAAAGTGAAAAAACTACCGGTGAAAACACTTTGCTCCAGAAAAATATCAATAGCATTTTAATTAGGAACGAACAATATTACGCAATTCTTTACGAGTCGTGGTACATAGGTCGGATTGTTCAAATAATTGATGAAACCACTAGTAAAATAAAATTTTTAAAATCTGAACTTGAAGAATATTTATGGCCAAAAAAAGACGACATTCAAATTGTTAAAAATAAATTAATATTTTACGGACCCATCAATTCAATTGGATCTGGTCCATTTAAACTAGAAACAAACATCAATAAAATTTGTAAACGTCTAAAAAAACACTTTTATGAAATTTTTAAATAAAAAACCTCAAATTACTTAACTTGTTTTATTTACCTGTACCTATTTGTTCATTTAGGCATATCAAAGATATCTAATAATGGAGGCATGTAAGTACCTACATAGAAGTTTATATTTGGGGTATCACATCAATTAAAACTGATCTTTTAAATGAATAAAAAACGTACAAAAAGTTGATTTATTAATAAATTTGTCGTACACACTTAGTTTTAAATCAATGCATTGTATTTAGCACCTATACATGCGCTATACAAAATTTAGTTTTTCTGATGAAACACCTAGCTAATGCTTTTTTTACTGGAAACCAACTGGTAAGCCATACAATATCGTAGAAATCCTTCGGAATGCGTGCAATTTTGCAATAATACTGACAATCCATATGTACGAGTAAATCGCCGCAATCAATAGGGAAATTGCCGCAATCAATAGAGAAATCGTTGCAGTCAATACATAAATCACCGCAGTCACGGGAAATCTGTCGGAAGTCATGTGGAAATCACCGCAGTCATCCAGAAATCGCCGCAGTCATCTAGAAATCGCCGCAGTCATCTAGAAATCGCCATATGATTGCGGAAATCATATGAATTCGGCAATACATGTACATTTTTACAAAGAGTGATTTGCCCCTCGACAAAAACATATTTATAATTCACATCTCAGTGCATACCTTCCAATTTCGAGTATATATTTTTTAATAAATAAATGATAAAATTACTGTATGTAAACAATAACAACATGAATTCAAATCACTTACACTGTTTATCACTAAATAGTAGAAAAAGATATATATTTTGTTGGTGTCACCATCTAGACAAAAAAGCTTTTAACGTATTTCTATTTTTATTGTAATAAAAATAAATGCTCCTGTAGGCAAAAATTAAATATATTGTTCTCTTCTAGCATTTTTTAACATTTCTATTTCTTTTCGTTTCTTTTCTTAAATTTTTTTCAAAAGAGACTGATTCATATTTTTAAAGTGACTCCAGAGAGGTATGGGCTAAGCCTTTATCTGTACTTACATACAATTTCTTTTAGTAAAATTAAAAAATAATACGTAAAATTGGTGTACTATGAAACCCTTGCGTATAATATATAGACCAATCTTAGTATTAAAGAAATAAATTACGTAAAAAATAAAGTGTACAAATACGTAACATTTATTCATCCCTCGTAAAACATCAGTAAAATATATTATAAATTGTTTTCATTCACAATTATTAATTTCTTAAAAATCTAACAGAGGCGCCACTTTCCAGACGAAAAATCTTGCCATGTAAGGGTTTCGTAGTACCCCACTTTTAAAGTTTATTTTTGACTTATTCTAAAAGAAAAAAATATGAACATGTAGGTAAAGGTTAAATCTATGCTCCTCTGGAACCACTTTTTTAAAATTCAATTTAGTTTTTTCTAAAAAAAATTGAGAAAATGAGTAAAAAAAGTCGAGTTTTGTATTTTTTTTTAGAAAAAAACAGTTTCAAATTTTAAAAAAGTGTCTCCAGAGGAGCATAGATTTATTCTTTACCTACGCGTACATATTTTTTTCTTTCAGAATAAGGCAAAAATAAACTTTAAAAGTGGGGTACTGCGAAACCCTTGCATGCTCCGCTCTACAGCCAAGTAAATACTCCTCTTAAGAACTAAACAAAATATGATTAACTTTAAACAAATTGTGTTTTACTATGAAACGGCCATGTGTCATATTTTTTAAACTAGAGCTAATACAGAAATTTAGATTACAGATTTGAAGTCTTCATTAAAAATTAAGCTAGTGTCACGTAATATAACTCAATCATTAGAAATGCTGTTGTGCAGTGTTATCTAATGTAGGAAAGGTTTGTTATCATTTATCACGTTCTCATTGTTGTATTCAACAAAACAAGAGGTCTGTTCTGACTCGACCCTGTAAATTTTCCACCAAAATCAGTTTTATCTATATTATTAGCTGTATTGTTACTCTGAGATGAGGGTTCATACCGGTAGGCGGGTAAACCGGAGATTAGGGTGGAAATCTAAATATTCATTCCGAAATAATTAAGTGTTGTTCAGTAAATTTCATAATTAAATGGATAGTGTATTTAATTATTAACAGCATATGTTTGAAGCTATTAAATCATATCTAGTTAAAGGGACTATTAACTTAAACTAATTGGCATTATGTTTTTAAATAATTGCAGAATTTTCTTTGCTTTTAATAACATTGAAAACAGAACGAATTAGAATAGAAATAGAATAGCAGAAGAGTAATAAACAATAAAGTATGTTGCTTTGATATTGCAACAAATCTTAGCGAGCTCTATGAATAGAAAGAGCGAATAGATTGCAATATGCTACAAGCGAAAAGAGATAATAATCTTTAGGTTAGTTAAGGTTAACTAAGTGTGCAAACTATAAAATGAAAGCAAGTATTTTGCATCGTTTGAGGACGACGTATAAAATATAGTTTTCAAGTACGTCCCCATTATTATTAAAAGTAGTCGATTATATATTCATAACAAGTTTGAATTCTGCAACCATTCAATATTAGATATTAATTCAGAATGACAATAATTTATTCAAATAACACAAACCATGTTTAGCCAACAAAACCATAACAAAGTCCTTTTACGCTTTGATTGTGCACCAAATTTATAAAACGAAGTGTATCCAAGTTTATAAAATCACCTCCATAATAATCCTTATCAACAAAACACAATACTTTTTGACGGAACTGTACCCGACAGCGGTGATGTGATCACGGCGACATACCCACTACGAGAAACGATGAAGAACTGAAATTCATTCCGCAAGCAGAAACCGAACACAAAACCGGCTACGGAGTAGGCAACCAAAATCGTCAACATGGCAGAGCGACTGAGCATCGTGGTGCGGCTAAGAACCCTAGAGTGAAATAAACAGTAAGGTGACCGTGTTAAGGTCGACGAAGGTTTTTTGAACTTCATTGGTTTAGAAACTAAGAAGACATAATATTTATTTATTGTAAATGATGACTGTTACTCACGAATATGAAATACAACATTCTTGTTTTTATTGACTGCATTTTTGACTGTGTCTCTAGGTTTTAAGCCTACCATTAATTATAATACGAGCAGGTACCTAGGTATTTAGTTTATAACATTATAGGTAAGTACCTATGTACTTTTTTTTTACGTTTAACAGTAGAAAATTTCGAAAGCGTTGTGGGGCATTTCCTTTTCTCATGTCATGATAACAATATTTCTAACCTCAAATCCATTGTAAAAAACATTAAAATTGATTTTAAAGAGTGTGATAAAATAAACATTTGTTTAATTTTGCGTTACATTAAAAATATCTGGTTATAGTTTTAAGTACTTGGTTCCTGTGAGAAGAAAAAAAAACAGTCAATCTGATAAGATGTTAATAAAAATTCCTCAAAATCTAAATACTTAAAAAACGATAGTGGGCTAAGGGCTGTTACAAAACACAAACTACCATCGTGCTTTTATATTTATTTTGATTTAGGGTAAGCTGGGGCAGGCTCGGAAACGTTTTTTCAAACATTAATATTTCAAAATTTGGACCTAATTCAGGAGCTACGGATACCTTAGTGTATTTCCAATATTTTGGCATTATCATAAGCAAAGAAATGCAGTGGTTTCCGGTCATTTACATTTTTTTTAAAAAGATGCATTTGTCCGAATCTGCCCCATAGTGGGGCAGATTCGGACAAGTAGAGGGATACATTCGGATAAGTCTAACAAAATTCAGAACTTATTTATTTTTAAGAGGAATAAAAACTGTATATTAGAAAAAGTTTATTGAACGTTATAACCATCAAAATTGGCATTAAATTTGAAAAGCGAACACATCCTGAGAGGTTCCTGGTACTGCCTCGGGATTAGGTATTTTCGAAACTATATCTTTTCTGTAAACCGTCGAAATATCCGGAAAGCGTAAACCGCTTTCATACTTTCTCAAAAAATTTAAGACAAAAGATTTATCATCATTGCAAGATTCCACTCTGCCGATTTAATGAAGTGTCCTTTTGTTGGTCGGCAAATAATCATTACGATGGATTACGTCATCATCCAATAGCATGAGCACATCGTCATTGTCTTGAAACTCGTCCAGAGAATCGGACAGATCGTCAAAAAAATTTGTCTCATGAACAACATTCTGTGGTAAATTCAGAATCTGAGGAGTCATTTTCTATTTTTTCCAACTTTTTCTTTGGTACACCTTTCCTTTGCATTTCTCTTCAACTTTTGTTTTTCTTTCTTAACTTCACATTCACTTTGTAATAATTTTTTTTCGTATTTTTTTCTCCAACTTTTGTTTTCTCATTGTTTCCAATTATTAAATTCTTTCCTACTCCAGTGTACTTGTATAAATTCTGGATTTACCTAGTCGAGACTTTCCATTTGTTTTTCTGGGGGCTGTCTTTGGTAATGGTCTAATGTTGTCGACGGATAATATTATAATTTTCTGTTTTGTAACGCGATTTAATATGTCATTCAGCATAGTTCTTATCATCATGGTCACTTCGTCAATTTCAGAATCGGCCACATTGCTAGTGCTCATGCTGATGGACGGAGTAAAAGAGTTGTTCGGTGTAATAGAAGTTGATGGCAGGATACACTCTTTCATTCTTATTTCAGGATCTGCCCGATCTGTGGCGAACCATCTCCATGAAATCGTCATCATTAAAAATCATGGAATTAATAGGCCACAAGCCAGTGCCTTATAATGTTTTTAGGTGTAAAACTTTGCAAATAAAGATGTTATAAATTCCAATTGATTTTCCAGGATTTGAAATGATAAAGTCGTTAAAGACAGCCTTTTTATTCTTAAATGGCACGTAAATGCCCCTGTCAATGGGTTGTATCTTGCGGGTGCAATGGGGTGTAAATGATAGTAGGACTATACCATTCTCACGAGAATAGTCTATGGCCCCGAGTGATGCGTGTGTTTCGTGGTAATCGAACAACAAAAGAATTGGATTTGCTTGACTAGAGCCAGTATGGTTTTGAAATATGCTCCAATAACTGGAGAACATTTTTTAAAGACATCCACCCACCCCGACTTCTCGGCAAAGCCTATTGCCCCAGGAACTGAACCATACATAAACTGCTCTTTCATACGAACACGAGGGAATACATATGCTGAAGGAATTGTATTCACACAGCAGAAATGAAGCAACATATTGTAACTAATACACCCCTTTCAGCTGAAACGCACTGGCCCACTCCTTTTGTCCATGTTTCGGCAATAACTTTAGGAGCCTGAAGAACGGTTGTGACTCCAGTTTCATCGGTATTCCAAATGCGATTAAGGGAAAAATTATATATGGAAAGGGAAGTAAAAGCGATACTAGCGCTAGCTGCGGATAATTCGTGCATTTTAGGGCGATATTTTGTAATTTTGGCATACCAAATACACGTATACATTTTACTTTTTTTCAAAAAAAGTAGGTAAAAACAATACAATAAGCAACTGTGTTGAAAATTGTACAAATACTAGCAAAAAAACAGTGAAACTTATATAAAAAATTTCAGTAGCAAAGTGGAAATTAAATGAAAGAAATAAATGGATAGATATACAATAAGAAGAAAAATTACCTTTATTTTTGTAATAATAACCATAATGCTGGAAATAGTAGACATCAGAAACTTGAAAGGTTTTAAATAAACAATAAATTATCATTTTACGATGTTCTTTAATATCCCTTTATTCTTAAATGTTCATTCAGCAAGGACTAGATTTCAAGTTTTTTGCCTTTGAGTATTATATGTGTTTGTAACGCAATTTTGTAACTTACCGATGGGAAATCAGTTTTAATCATTCATTCTGTTTTCTTTCGAACAAAAATGAAAATATAAGTAATGATCCTTTTTTTATACATTTTAACTTCACGCTATTATTAAATGGTATTTTTTTATTTTGATAGAATAGGCTAATTCTTCATAAAAACTTATTCTTTGGAATTCATTATTATTATTCATAAAATTATGAGAAAAAATTGGCCAATTTGATAGCAACATGGGTGGACTAAATAAACATGAAAAACTTTATATGCTGCCCTCAAAAAGAAGCTTAAAAATTGAAGAAAGATCCCTTTTCACCCACTACTGACTACAAGTACCTACAGAATGTTAAACCAATCAAACAAGTATTGAAACCAAATTTAACTTTTGAAATACGAACAGATTTAAACGTTCTTACATAACTTTAAACTTTAGACTGTCTATTACTGTTTCACTTTTGTTAAACGTTCTGACAACTTTGAATGATTGAAGGATAATTCTTTTTACAATTATGTATACTTTTGGTGTAGAATATTAAAAATATTAGGTATTTTTATCTTAAATGGTGTGGTAGGTAATTTAAGGATATGAAACAAATTATTATAATTTTCCAAATAAAATAAAATTTAAACATGGTATATTTCAACTAAATACGAACATTTTAAAGTAAAAGTGCTCAACAGCCTTTTAAGTTATGTTATCATAATAAAATTATGTACATTTTGAGACGGCGAGATTTAGCCAAAGGTGCTCCTCTAACCATCTGCCGACGAGGGATAATTTTGGTGTCTTTGACCAATTTAGGCGTGGTCCTTCTGCCTTCTTTGTTGAAACTTATATAATACCTAGTTGATGTACCAGTAGCACAGTTTAAAGAATAATATATATTCTTTAAACTGTGCCAGTAGTTTCTTTCATTTGTATAGACCACCAAAGGGACATTTATTTATAATCAATTTATTAACGTGTAATAATTAAAACTTATATATTTTCTTGTCTGAATTGTTATAAAGCTTTATAAGCACTAATTTGTTTTCGTATTTAGCATTTACCGAGGCAATACTAGAGGACTTTGTAAAAGTATTATATAGTAAAACCAGAGATCTAATGACTCTCATAAATCATATTAGCCGACGACCCTCATTATCACTATTGTTCGATTTGTAGATAAGCGATAAAATTGTCTGTTTCTCAGGTCCGGATTAAAATATATATTCTCATGAAAGAGTAAATAATATGTTTTTTTAATAATATTATAATCTAGGGCTCTCTATTTCAATTGTTAATAGTTTTATATGTAAAACTATTTTTATAACAAAAAATGTCCTAGAATTTAAAGTACTTATAAATAAAATTTACTTGCCTGACCACCTGACTTTCTGTACTAAACATCTATTAAGGAGATTAGCGATAATGGGATATAGAGTTACAAATAAATTACCAGACTTTGAAGACAAAAATACTATTGTTTAAGATATCGAGTCCTATAATTCCAGACAGATTAGAGAAACTTAAATAAATAATGGGGAGTTAGTTAGTATGTAACTGTTTTGAGAGCTGACCAATTACCGTATTGTGTCAGTTGTGTTTATTTCGAAATGTCTTAAAAATTTTATATAGTGGAAAATGTTCCATTCGTGGGTTAACGTGCAGCCAATACTTCAACTGGTGGTGGTAATACCACTAATCGACAAGATTTACACATTAATTTGAAAACAATATTAGTGTTTATTCCTCCCTTATGGAACGTGGAGTGACCAAGACTCAAGCAGTGCGAGAAACTGCCTCTTTAACGAAAACGCCGTATTCTACTGTATTCAAAATAGTAAGTAACCCTATTTTAAAAAGAAGGAAAAGAAAAGACCCTGGTTCTTCAAAGAAACTAGATGGCTGTGATGTAGACCTAATTCGAATCTGTGCGCCTTAAGCAATGTAGATTTCAATATTTATTGGCGATAAATGATTTTTGAGAAGCTGTCAGAACAGTTGTGTATTTGGATGAAACTTTGTTAGATACACATGATATTCCAAACAAAAGTTGGGTGGACTCATCTGACTGGTGCTAGACTAATA